TACACATTGTATTTTATACAATCTTTCATTTACATTGTTTCATACAATCATTCACATACACTCTTACTTTTTTTTAAATGAGATTCTTATCTGAGCTGGTATTTTCTTTTATATTATTTACAAAATTCAAAAATATTGTTTTTCACCCTAGATCCTTCCCATTTCCCTCACCCCTCCACCAATCAAATTGTGCAATCTCATAATTAGTCCCTCTGGTCCTCCTCCCCCACATACTTCCACCCTTCCCCCATGTTGGATCCTCATACTCATTCTACAATAACAGTTTAACACAGTATTTGTCTTTATGGGACTTAGTTAATTTTTTTTTTCAATCAGCAATTTTTTAACAGTCATTTGTTCGCTGGTTGTAAGGTAACAAAATTTGAGCCAGGATCATAGTTGCAATAGGCTCTAACACCAAATGACAAATTAATAAACTTTGTGAAGATTCTGAAAATTTGGAAAATTGTAATGCCAAGGATAACAGAAAAAGAATTGATGCCTTTGAGCTGTGCGGTTAGAGAAGAGCACTGAATATCCCCTGGACAGCCAAGAAAATGAGCAGATGTGTCTTGGAGAGGGTGCAGCTAGACTGCTCTTTGTAGGCAAGAATGATGAGGCTTCACCTCGTAGACTTTGGACATATTGCCAGGAGGTGCTATTCTTTGGAGAGGGACATGATGTTGGGAAGGGTGTAGGGTCAGTGAAGGAGGGGAAGACCCTCAACAGGGTGACTGCTGCAGTTGGGCCTTGTGTGTCAGGAAGTGTGAGGATGACACAGGACAGACTAGGTTCAGATCTTTTGTCTAAAGGTTCGCTATGAGTTGTACTCTACTCGATGGCACCTAACAACAACAACAACAACAACAACAACAACACTGTATGGAATGGTCATTTTAGGATGGTTATTTGGGATTATGTGGACAGAGTTGAGCTCAGTTGGAATAAACTGGATTAACTCTGGTAGGTTTTAATCAGCCAATATCTCTTGTCACCACTTTCCCCCAGGTTACCCAATGACAAAGAGTAAGGA